AACATTTGTTTGAAAGGTGCTATACAAATAAAGTATTATTATTATTACACAGCGAGTCCTCTCACACAGACAATATTTAACTCAAATTAACCCTACTGAACTCTTACACTTGTAAGATATTTAATTCTGTAATCTACTGTTGGTTTGAGCCTTCATATGAGATTTGACAATCTCAAAGTGCTTAGAATAATGTCAGACCTCTGCTTTTAGTTAACTCGAACAGTGATACAAAGACTGGACAAAATTAATTACAAAACAAAACATTTCTTTTACTTACAATTTGAAGTTTAATGGTCTTCCCATCTAGTTCTATGGTTCGTATTTTGAAGTCCACACCGATAGTGCTAATGTAACTTTCTGTGTACGTATCATCCTGCAGAGAAATAAAATCAGGGAGATGGTTCAGATATTCTGTTCACATCCTGCTTAATGTTTCATGAACAAAAACCTTCCCAAGTAACAAACAAAGTCTCTAAAGGAGAATGGGCTGTGTGTGTTTGGGAAAGCTGGAAGACCGCATTCACAGAGGAGTCTCTAAAATGTCTCGAAGAGTTCACAGGAGTTCTTAATTTCCTTGCTTGATCACAGTATATGCAGTGTTTCCCCTACCATTATACAAGCAGGGTGCCCCACCCCGTCAACACAACCGAGCACCCCACCTACCAAACTGACCACCACCCCCTCCACCCGGCACTGACATAGCTCTAAGCTAGCGGCCCGCAATACAGGCGCTCTAGCTAAAAAGCTAAAGGCGCCTCTTCCCTCATGCTGAACGCCCCCCTCCCCGCCCTCGCTCAAAAACTGTTGGTACAAGCTGTGCTCAGACATTTCTCCGTCCCCCCCCCCGTCAACAAAAATTATGGATAAAATGAGAACCCCACCATGGCAAGTTAACTAGGGGAAACACTGTACTGCTATTCCTACTTCGCCGCGGTTTTTCCACTTATCGCGGGACTTCAGGGTACGGATCCCCCGCGACAAACGAGGGACTGCTGTACTGTACTGTAAGATTGTACATGACAAAAAAACCCAGCTCCACCATTTTGTAGTTTTCTCTCAATAAGCCTACACTGTATCGCTAGTCTAAAGGACTACATTACCCAGAAGGCAAAGTTGCTTTCTGTTGGAGGGAATGTTCTGAAACGATCGAAAAAAGTTTGGTCGTTACAGTATTCATAGTGACTTGGGCGCTCAGTGGATGAAGAGGGCCGATCAGAACCAGACCAGAACGGGACCTAGGCTGGTTAGGTCTGCTGAACCGGAACTGAACCGGAGCGGAACTGAGCTGTGTGTTCTGCAGAGCTGGTGTGTAAAAAGGCATTACTATGTTGAGTGAATAAACATCAAGTTATGCTGATTAGTTGTATATATTTTAATACTTTTAATGGTCTTAAGCTTTTTGTTTGTTGATATTGTTTTTAGGTATATGAGAATATGTACTGGTGTAATGTAATGTGTTATGCATTGTCATCATTGTATGTTCCCATAAAAAGGCAAAATTGGCTCTCTGCATTTAACCCATCCACCACCAGGTGGAGCAGTGGGCAGCTATGGAAAGCGCCGGGGGAGCAACTGGGGATTAGGTGTCTTGCTCAGAGACACCACGAGATGTGCAATAACCGGGGATCGAACCCAGGACCTTCGGGTTGCGAGTCGGCTGCCCTGCCCCTGCAGTATCTGTGTGCAAGAGTGGGAATCAGGAAACTGCTAAACTGAAATGTCGTTTGGGGACAAATAAAGTCTGAATCTGAGTAAGATTTGGAGACTTGCAGCAAGAATAAACAACAAATAAACAGACAATAAGTGATTTTGTAAGTTGTCAGAAAACATTTGAGACAAACTAATATCAGGTCAAGTTTTGACTAACTAACCTGTTGAACTCTCCGAGTTTCTCCAGCTCTAACAAAGCAGAGTGAGTTGTGATATTTGAAGGATTAAACTCAGAAATCAGTTCATCGATCCTCCTTCCCATTCGGTTGGCTACAAAACAAACAAAAGGTTATAATTAGTTTATTTTGCATCCAGTTTATAAAGTAAACATCATCGCGTTGCTCAAAGCCCCAGTGCTCTAGCTTTTAGTTCTTCACTCACTGCTGAATCCAGACCCACAGTTGGTTGTGATGTCCAGCAGAGCCTCTGGCAGCACCCCGTCCCTCTGGAAGTTCTGAATGAAAATGTCCCCCTGTCTCTTGGAAAGTTTACTGCCGTCCTTATTCATCAGAAGCGGAAAATGTCCGAAGGTGGGCGGCTGCCATCCGAGGGCACGGTACATGAGGAGGTGTTTGGATGTAGAGACGAGCCACTCGCACCCCCGCAGCACGTGGCTGATCTTCATGTAATGATCATCTACGATGTTAGCAAGGTGGTAGGTGGGAAAACCATCCGCTTTCATCACCACCGGGTCGCCCTCCACCTGAAACAAGAAGATGGGAGGGGAGGGATTGTCACTAGAATGGGAAAGTTGGAAGTAAATTAATGAAAGATGGATAAATTAAACTACAGCCGAATCAGTTTTACATCAGATTTCTAACCTCGACTTGGACATAATGAATCAAATCACGACAAACCTGACCTGCGCCACGTCATGGCGGTTCCATCCAAAGACCAGATCCTGAAATGGCTCAACGCCAGCTTCCAGACGAAACCTGATCACATGCGACGCTCCCTGAGCCAGCTTCTCCTGGACCTGGTCCGGTCGCAGGTGACCACACCTGTTGTCATACCTGTGGAGACCAGAAAATAATCAGCACCTCGTCAGACAGAAAACTCACACAGTTGTTTCTGTTCTAGACAAGAAGTCGAGGTGACGGTGTCAGATTTTATGTTTCTTGTTACTTTGGAGTCTGTCCAGCTCTTTGAGCCTCTTTTTTGAGTAGGTCCAGTCTCTGAGGACTGCAGAAACAGTAGTAAGCGTGACCGCTCTCAACAAGCTGCTGGGCTGTTTGCCTGTAGAGGTCTAATCTCTGAGACTGCAGGTACGGACCCAGAGGACCCCCTCGACGAGGACTTTCATCTGGTGGTAAACCTGCAGGAGAGACCAGCTCAAGTCATACAGAACAAGACCACGAGAAGTCTTCTAATTAGTTTGTGCGACGTTGTGCATCACTGCAGCCCACCCAGTCTTACCAGCCCATTCCAGCATGTCCTCTATGGACTCTGCTGCTCCTGGGACCAGTCGGCTCTGATCGGTGTCCTCCAGTCGCAGGATGAAAACACCTCCATACTTCTTTGCAAAGATATAATTATAGAGAGCCATTCGAAGACCTCCAAGGTGTAGAAAACCTGCAGAAACAGACTTTTTTTTCAAGAACCCTGATATAGCAGGAAAATGGAACAAGAGTTTTCAGATTTAAAAAAAATCTTTCAAATACTCTTCCTGTTGGTATTTCACTTTCTTCAGTTTGATTTGTTTTATTGTCAGTCTTGAGCAGATTTGTTCTGGACACACTGTAAAATAATATTTACTGACGTTGTTAAACTCCTTTAACCCACTAATAAATTATTTCGCCATTTTAAAGAATGTTTCTTAAAATCAGTCTAGGGTTTGCCTTGATCAAAAAATATCAATTTAAAAACAAGAATTTCAGCATATCCACTTAAAAGTGCCCAATGATAGATGACATATCATTAGACACGTATCATTGATACGTTAAACCGCAAACACTTCCATAACAATCTATCAGTATGCAGCGCTTGTTTATTACATTCACTTATCCAGCAAATTATAGTATAATTCTGTACTTACGACTTAATACTTGAACATGTTTTGCTTTGATACTGTTTTATAAATCCTATAACATGTTTTTAATACAAAGCCAACTGTTGTACAAAGTTTGTTGCTCATTTATTCAAATATAAGCGCCAGAGAAATTTGTTCAATATGCTTAAAAATCAAAATAAAGTGATGACTACATTGTACTAACCAGTGTACTTTGGTTTCTAAGCACAGTATACCCAGTACGAAAATGTAGACTACACCACTAATGCAGCAGATACAAGTAGAAGTTAGTTGTAGTAGATTTTCTTAAGTGAGAATACCCCTCCATGAATAATTTTTACGTGTTCAAGTTCTTCTAAATGATAAATGGACTGTACTTATATATCACCTTTCTATCTGATCAACATACTCAAATCTGTTTACACTGCAATCTGTGCCTTCGGTTACCCATTCATAACTCTACTATATCTATACAAATAATACTCTGTGCTTTACCACATTCATACACCGATGGGACACACATCAGAGGCAATGAGGGGTTCAGTGTCTTGCTCAGGGACACTTCGGCATGGGACTGCTGGTGGAATCGAACACCCAACTCTTGCATTGGAGGACGACTGCTCTAACCACTCAGCCACAACCGCCCAAATCAAAGTGTTGTTAACTATATGAATATAGTTAACAACAATAACTATATGAATATAGTTAATATAGTTTATATAAAATGTTTTAATGTTAAATGGCTATTGTTGCACCGGGGTCTGAGAGAAATGTAATTTCAATCCTGTGTATGTCCTGTACATGTTGCAGTTTTTGACAATAAAGTGACTTTGACTTTGAATATATAAGTTAACCTATTATTGTTACATTTTGTTAAATGAAAAACACTTATTGACCACAAACTAAAAAAGAAAAAAAAAAGTGATACCCGGTCATTTTCCTTCTACCTTCATGCATGTGACCAGAACATCCCAACAACCCTCAGGATGGAGGGGAGTGACAATTATGTGAATTTTATTTACATAAACAAAACACAGCATGCAGTTTCAAGCTTTGAACTCCATACCCTCCAGATTTTAAATAGGAACGCTCCCTATATGAAACAAAACTTCTTCAACTACAGAAATCCAGTTGCTTTTTGTGTTTTACTTTTTGGATTACTCCGTGTGTGTGAGATAACAAACAGTGCTGTATATGGAGTGCCAAATGTTAGGGGTGCACCAATTGCAGTTTTCTGGCCGATCGCCGATCACGATTTCTAAAAAGTCTGACCTGCCGATTCCGATTTTGGTCGATACCGGTTTTGTTTTAGAAGCGACACGGTCAGGTGTTACAAAGTCACAACGCACCTTCAATTTTTCAATTTTATTTTATTGTAAAACATACCCTTGAACAATATCCTAGAAACAATACAAGCTGGTTTTAACTGGCCATGAGGTAGTGCTCTGAAATATAAATGAAGTTCAGACAATTGTTGTTAAAACAAAAAAAAATCTGTAAAATCGGTTTCTCGTGTAAGTATCGGCCAATTTCCCAAAATTAAGGAAATCGGGGCCGATTTATCGGTGCACCCCTATAAAATATATATTGGAAAGCACTAAGTGTATGTGTATGCATAATAATTGGAAAGGTTAACTCTATAAGCAGTCTGGTAAAAATCTCGGGATGGTTTTAGACTCTGACTTCAAGTTTGACAAACAAATCAACTCTGTTCTGCAGAAAAGCTTCTTCCAACTCAGACAGGTAGCTAAGCTCAAGTCAGTGTTGTCCAGACCCGACCTTGAGAAACTAGTCCACGCCTTTGTCACGACTCGATTGGACTATTTCAATGCACTCTATGCCGGGGTCAGCCAGGCCTCCATCTCACGTCTTCAGCTCGTCCAGAATGCTGCTGCTCGGCTTTTAACCGGAACTCGTAGGTCTGAACATATTACACCAGTTCTGTCCTCCCTTCACTGGCTCCCTGTTCGTATGAGGATAGTTTTTAAAATTCTTCTGTTGACCTTCAAATACTTAAATGGCCTCACACCCCTTTACCTCTCTGAGCTACTGGAACCTTACGTTCCCTCTCGGGCCCTGACATTATCTGATCAGCTGCTTTTGGCTGTTCCAAAAACAAGACTGAAGCTCAGAGGAGATCGGGCTTTTTCAGTCATGGGCCCCAAACTCTGGAACAACCTGCCCCCCAAAATCAGGCAGGCCACCTCCCTTCCTCACTTCAAATCCCTGCTAAAAACACATCTGTTCTCTCAGACATTTCACACAGTGTAAATTGATTTAGTGTTTTTTGTTCTGTGATCCTATGTTTAAAATGCTTTTTGTTAATTCTTCAGTTATTATTATTAGTGTATTGTATTTTTTCTCTTTAATTTTATTCCCATTAATTGTTGTTATTAAGCACTTTGATAACAGGTTATGTTTTAAAGGTGCTCTATAAATAAAGTGGACTTGACTATATAAGTGGCCCATTATATGTAGACAAAACTGACTGTCAAGAGTTACAGGACTTAACGAAAAGTAAATAAACCAACAACTCATCTAAAAATGACCAGGCACTGGTTAGAGAATGAGAACGAGCAACCAAAGACCAAATAAAACTAATTATCTGAGATATCTTCAGACAGCACGAAGAACCATTAATCAAGATCACTTTAAAACTACAAGAAAGTCGCATTGGAAGCAAAAAGAAAAATAGAACAGGAACAACTGGAGACTTTATCACTATGAAGGATCATCACAAACCCTTTTTCATGTGTCTCTAATCTTGTCTCTTAATTACTTGTTTAGATTAGGTTAGATGTATTTTTTTTTTGCATTTATTATAGCCTAGGTCTGTTTGTATTGTACTGTTGTGTATCTGCACTGTGTTATATTGTTTTTGCACTTTATGTTCTGTGTTGCACCGTGATCCTGGAGGAACAGTTTCGTTTCAATATGTATTTGCATGAAATGACGATAAAACCTAGTGAGGCTCCTTCATGCAGGGCTGTTGTTGTGGTCGCAGTGTTATTTATGACATGGCGACACAACATGGTCGTGATGCAACAACAAGAAGCTCCAGCAACAACATGAAGTAACTTAATGTTACAGATTGTTGGAGACTTACCTGTGGGACTGGGAGCAAACCGGACCCTCACCTCACCTGGAGCCGTGGAGCAGCATCGTTCACCGGCGGCGTTCAACCGGGGCTCGGCTCGCCTGTTTCTGATCGCGGAGAGACACTGAAATCTAGTCCGAGGCGCTGAACTGTGCAGAAAACACGGCCTGAAAGATGTCAACTGAAGACGCATGATGACGCTGAAGATTAACGTGCTGACTGGCGCGAGACACGACTTGTAGGTCAGAAAACTGACAGACACGTTTCTGACAGGCGCATTTCTACAGACAAGTCTTGAACCGAGGACGTTAAATGAAACAAACCTATTCTTTTAAATTTATTCTTTCGTAAACCATCCGTTTGTGAGTTGGGTCAAAGTGTGTTATTCTTCTTCGCTGACACCGGAATGAGATTCGTTCTTTCTTTTTTTTTTTTTTTTTTTTTTAACAGCGCATAAAACTATCACAGGAACCACACTGCCACCTAGCGGATGGAGTGTGCCATTGCTGCAGTTTATAAATGGCAAAAATGCCATTTTACATATTTATTGAATGTCTTCCTTTTTTTTAAATTAATATTTCCAGCACCATTTTTATTTAATTATTGATAATTATTATTATTATGATGATCTCCATCAAACTGCTTTTACATGTACCCACATCTACAATCAGCCTGTTGTGGACTCTCAGTTAACTCTAAAATAAAGTATACAATTTTTTGTCATCATTGCAAACTGATTCTTTGTATTAAGGTCGATCTTTGGCTTCTCCAGTCCAGTATAAGCAGTACAAGGATGGGGGCTTTTTTCATATATTTTTTATTTTTTTATTTTTTGCACAATTGAATATTTTCCTCATGCAATGGTGAATTTAAACCATCTACCTCCTTATGTTCAATATGCATTAAATAAATTTATAACTTGCCCTAAAATGACTTGTGGAATGTGTTTATCTGTCCATGATTGTGTATTTCTGTTATTTTCTGGAATTACTTTCAGAATGTACTGCACCTCTAAGCTGAGGCAGTCAAAAAAATCCTTAAAATATTGAGTTCATATGAAAAATAAATTTAAAAGAATAATGAAAATGTGGTGTGAGAATGAGAGCAGATTGTTTTGATTGTCGTGAATCCAAAAACTTTTGTATATTTTTGCAATTTTTACAAATATAATGTGAACAAATAACATTTTTTAGTGTTTAGGAGTGAATTGCCCATCTATGTGTGCGTGTCTTATCTCAGTCAGCCTTATAACCTGAATCTCTCACTTACTGCTCTTTGAATTGAGAAAGCTCCTCGGATGAGGAGCGAAACATCTGTTACAAATAAAGTCCAGTTGTTTTTATACTGAACGCTTTTTGAAAACATTTTTTAGAGCTTTGGTTTTGGCTGAATAAACTAGATTTCCACAAAATTATGTTAATATCCACAACTTTGTGTTAATAAGTCTTACAGCTAAGATTATTACAAGTTTTTCTAACTGTTAAGAAATTAATTATCAAAGATATTTAAAGTGTTTTAACTCAGTGCCTTTATTTGCCTGAAATCAATGAAAAATTACAAGAAACCTCTTCATTAAATAAACATATATGATTAAGAAAAAACTTAAGGTGAACACAACGTCTTACCTTTCCTTAATTTTATAAAATGTACAAGTTCACAATTTACTATTTTACTTATCTTACAAAAAAGCCACAAAAATAATTTAAGAAGTGAATATTAGTTCACCCAAGAAGAAAGAAAAAAAACGTTAGCAGTTTTAACAAACGGCATAGTTTCTGTTTTCCTAACATGACTGTAGTCAACTTCCTTTTCAGTTCATGATCTACTGTAATACAGAGCTCAGCCTGTTTTATTCTAGGAAAAGAAAACCAGTTTAACTTGATTTGGGTATGCTTACTATGGTGCGTGTGGGCAGCCACGCACAATAAAATGAATTACCGGTTCCCACAGCTGTTTGTATTGTAAATGTTTCTCCGCGAAACTCACTCTGCATGTTCACATTCTCCACTCGCCGCATGCTGCTCAATGAAGCCAACAAGCAGACCTCTTTAAAGTCATAATATTTTATTTTAAAGACATTTCTATTTATGACATTTTGTTTTTTAGACTTTAGGCTCAGGCCTCCCTTTCAAAAGAGAAATGTGATCTCACTGGGATTTGCCTGGTTAAATAAAGGTTAATTAAATAAAAATAAATAAATAAAAAGTATACCATACCATACCATGCTATACCATACCATACCATACCATGCTATACCATACCATACCATACCATGCCATGCCATGCCATACCATCCCATCCCATACCATACCATACCATACCATACCATACCATACCATACCATACCATGCCATACCATACCATGCCATGCCATGCCATACCATACCATACCATACCATGCTATACCATACCATACCATGCCATACCATGCCATGCCATCCCATCCCATACCATCCCATACCATGCCATGCTATACCATACCATGCCATACCATACCATACCATGCTACACCATACCATACCATACCATACCATGCCATGCCATACCATACCATACCATACCATACCATACCATGCTATACCATACCATACCATACCATACCATACCATACCATACCATGCCATTCCATACCATACCATACCATATCATGCCATGCCATGCCATACCATACCATACCATACCATACCATACCATACCATACCATACCATACCATACCATACCATACCATACCACTTTATTTATAGAGCACTTTAAACACCCACAGGACCAAAGTGCTGTACACATAATAAACAATCACACAGATAATAAAAAGCAATTATGGATTATAGCAACCACAGGGGGAGTGGTGGCGCAGAGGTTAGAGAGGTGGGCTTGTGATCCGAAGATCGCCGGTTCACGCCCCGGCCCCGACAACATCAAAATTGTGGGTGGGGTAGGTGAAACACCCACACTTGCCCCCACCCTCTTTCGCCCCACCCTGGGCCCATGAGCAAGGCCCTTAACCCCACCATGTGCTCCTTAAACAGGTCTCTCTTGAAAATGAGTTCTCGTGGCCCAATGAGACTAACCTGTATAAATAAAGGCTAAATGAAAAAAAAATTTTTTAATGATTAAAAGTAAACATTTCAGATGGTGTCAAAGGTCAGGGAGAAGAGACTTGTATGACTTTTAAAAGTTCCACAGAGATGATAGTTTCTGTTATGGTGAATAGTTTCCTGTTATGGCGTCTGAGGATTAAAGTGGGAGTGTTTTCTTAGAGGCGCTGTTTAGCATTCAGAAAAAATCTGAATGAAACGTGTAGCTAATCTTTAAGTTAAGCACCAGCTGATCTGCGTTCTCAAACACAAAGCCTTTGTGCTTTATTCCAAACAAAGAAAAGCTATAAAGGAGTGTCCAACATAAATCTAACTTTGTCTCTTTCTTTTATTTTCCATGCTTGCGTCTAAAAAGTTGGTGAGAAGATTTTTCTGAATTATGTCTTACCCGGCCTCCCATAGTTTGTAGTATTGCTCACAGATGAAGGCAGAAAATGACTCGGCCCCCCTGAGCCGCACCGAGAGCTCAGCCTTCATCACTTGTGTCATTGTCACAAGGAAACACACCCTTTGCAGGTACACCGGCGTCTCAGGTGTCGGGAGAGACACAGCTGCGACCTACAGCACCCGAAGGACAAGCTCTACAAACAAGGTGAGAGATTTAGCTGTGATTTTGTTGCTTCATCACATTTTATTTCAACGATGGGACAGTCACACCATATTTTGAATGAGACATTGTAAATCTGAGGTCTTATTTCAACGTGATTACAGCATTCTTCTGTGTGAAAGGAAATGTAGAAGAGCAGATTAATGCTGAGTTAAAGTAAGCCTCCTCATGAAGGCGAGACATTATTAGTTTTACTTTTTTATCCTTGGAAACAATGAGCTGTTTGGGGGTTTCAGAACAAGTTTGAACTCTTTGTGTTTTCACATCAGGAGGAGAAATCCACCTCACAGAAAAACTTCCACATAGGATTAAATCAGAACACTTTTGACTTTAAACTTAAGAACTATATATAAAAGTATTTGTTCGCTAAACAGGATGCCGCATGACATTATCATTACTCGATAACTTATATAAAATAGCAATGTGGTCAAATTAATACAATGACGAGGTTAATCTGAAATCATGTTGGTTAATCCCTTTGCAGTAATTTATTTTTATCTGTATGAACAAATTCTGTGAGATTTCTTTAAAAGTGCGACACAAAGAAATAATAAAAGCAGGACGTTGAGCTGCGTTTACATTAAAATAAATCACTGCCACTTTTAAAGAAAAAAAAATTGTTTCTTGTTACGTGATTTTCTTCAACTAATAACTTGTATTGACATTTGTCTTTGTTCTTGTCGCTCTTTCAGTTCTTATGTAATATCGATGGAAAGTCTAAAACAAACAGCATTAAAAGGTTTTTATGTCAGTAATGGAGCACACCTTCTTTTAACGGTAACTCTGAATACAGACGTTGTCATAAAGAAACTGAGCGAGTTCACGTTCCTTTTGTCAGAGTGACGGATATGTGAAGGCCTGACAATAAAAACAAACATTTTATTCTAGCTTGTGAAATTGTGAATCATCAAATAAAGAATCATTTGTGTCAGAAGAAGCACTTGAGTGTATTGGTTACCTAAAAGAAACAATTTTACGTTTTTTACCCCTTCATAATTAAGAAATTAATTACATTAAAACTAAATAAAAAGCTTTATTTTGAGCAATAAACAATATGAAAATGAGCTTATTTTTTAAGCCTCCTTCCAATAGAAACCTAGTGTTTTGTCCTCGGGGAGCTCATTAAGAGTATGTGTTTCTGTGGTTGATGCTAATTAATCTGAATAAACACACACACACATCTTTCATGGTGATACGTCACGTGATATACGTTCAAACTTCATTTTATTGACTGAAAATGATACGTGCATTTTAAGGGGCTAAAAAAGTTATTGGATACTACTGAACTTGTTAAAAAAATAAAACTGAGGGATAAGCGCTTTACAAGAAACTTGGGAGTTAGTTATTTTATTTTATTCTTGTTTTGATCTGTTAACAGAAACTAAAAAAAAAATAAAAAATCAGTTAACGCCATAGTATATATCTTGGGGGTGGGGTTCAGTGAAAACGTTATGAGTAGATATTATCTTACCTGCTGTAGACAGCTCTTTGAACAGCCTCAGTTTGAAGAAATAGAAATGAACTCTTAGCAGCATGACAAGCTAATATTTGTATATATTTATCGGAGCTGGACAAAGACCAAAGTGGACTGTTGCCATTTTTAAAAAGCTCCAACGTATAAAAATAAATAAATAAATAACTGCGCATTACATGTCTTTCAATGTTCAGTCAAGTCATCTGGACAGTTTCTTTTTTTGCTGAGACGTTTCATCCTTCATCCGAAGGACATCTTCAGTCCGAGAAGCCACAAACAAACTGGA